TAATGGGCAGACAATTTATATACTTTTGCCGTGTTAGTAATTATTATAAACAACGAAATGAAGATATTATTATAGTAAATAAGTTTTAGAGTTAAATAATGGGCTGATTATAACCGATTGAAACCTACAAAAGGGCCAATTTTTTTTTTTTTTTGAGCCGTTTGTATATCAAAATTTGGGTGGGTCTATGGAGGGCAATGGATTGTATCCAAAGGATTTAGGGTTCAAAGCTCGAAGGACCAAAAAATGGTGACGCAGGTGAGCGTCACCTTAAACGTGAGCTGATGAGCTGAAAGGGGGCATATGAACTCTGCGGAGAATAAGCGGACGCGAAAGGGTAGGTAGGAAAACGGGACTTACTTGGAGACTGATGCTGGCACTATCACGGTCGTAGTGGTGTTCCTCTGCGATGGGTGGCACATACACCTTTTCACCGGTTCACACTCAACCTTTTACTTAGTATATACGAAAGGCGCGCGCGCACAATTTACTCAATATCGAACGAGCGTATCTCCGCGTGCCGTCATGTACCGCACTGTTATGAGAGGTGCGGGGTGCGTACGGGCGACGGCACCCGAGTTGAGCCGAACATTTACAAACGTCGCGCTGTCGCGCGAACAGACTTCCACAGTCTAAAAAGGCACGTACAGTAGAATTTTCTTTAGTGTTTGGATTGGATACTTCGATTAATGCTGTGGATAGTAGCACATCACTAGAGTCGTAGCCGCACACAGCGGAGCTACTTACGACCGCAGTATTAGACTGGTGGAGAAGTGTATTGTGTCGCTTATTACATTCGCGACAGCTGCTTAATCGACAGTCAGTCACTGAATGGCCAGCTCTCAAACAATTAACACATAATTTTAAATTCTCAACCTCAGACCATCTTTCCTTTATGTTTTTTGATATAAATATGGGACAATTATAGATTCGATGGTTCTCTTTACAAATAATGCAAGAAGATGAATAATTTTGAGTGGTGCTGGTAAAGGTTTTCACATAGATTGGTTTATTATTATTAGTAGGGGCTGGGTGACGCGAGGTATTTAGTAATGTCTTGGTAGGGTTATCAAATTTGTTTCTATTTAAAGCCTCGAGAACGTCAGCACGATCGACCAAAAACTTAAAGAATTGTTGTAAAGTAGGTACATCGTCGATGCTATTACGCGTCTCCTCCCACTTCGTTAGTGTCGTATTATCTAGCTTGGAAGACAGCATGAAGATAATAAGCATATCCCAATGATCAGTCGGCTGTTCCAAGCTAGATAGCGCCCGCAAATTTTTGGTTACATGATCCACCAAGAAACGTAGTGACCTTTCCGATTCGCGAGTAATGGACTGAATATTGAATAGTGATTTAAGGTGTTGGTTAATAAGTAATCGTTTATTATTGTATCGCGCACAAAGTAGTTCCCAGGCCTCTGCATAGTTCGCCGAGGACACTTCGAGATTAGAAATTATGCGCGCTGCGTCGCCCTCCAAATATGAAATTAAATAATGGAACTTGTGTATGTTCGTTATATGTTCGTTTTTATGCACTAGGTTTACAAAAGTATCATGAAATTCCAACCAGTGAAAATAGGACCCATTGAATTTAGATATTTGAATTTGCGGTAATTTTACACCAATATTGTGATGATCGAGACTACACTGAGCTTCCTGGAAGATCGATTTGCGTCTATCTTCATCTTTAATCGAATTTTGTTGATCGATAATATTTTTTGCTGTGACAATGTTTGTTATAATCTCCTGCTCAATGTTGTCTCTTTCATCGATTTCGAAGTCAAGATTATTAGAATTTAAGACCTCGATTTCACTTTGCAACGCATCAAACCTTGTTGAAAGTCCCTCAAATCTGCCAAGTTTAAGTGATAGTTCAGTTAGCTCAACATTTGATAATGTTGACTGCAAAGTCAGCTTGTCGAGATAGTTTTTAAACTTGGTTATTTGACCCTTAATTGAGCTACGTTTAGTCGTGAGCTCTTTTAAAGATCCGCGGATGGAACCATGCTTTTCCCCGTCTGAAGGCATTTTGAATTATAAAACAATGTAAACTAGGTAATATTTACAAATCTTAGAGAAATTCAACAAGTCTAAAATAAATATGAATATTGCAAAATATAGGTAAGAAACCAATAGAATGTAAATAAATAAGTTATATCTCACGCTCCTCACTGCGTCGGCATACCAGTTGGCGTGCGAACAGCTGACGGCACTGATAACGCGCGATATGGCTCGTCAGTCGTACCGATGCTGCTAAGTGACGAGGCTACGCGCTGTAGGCACGGCGCGACGCAAACTCCTGGAAACGTTCGGCAGTACGACTTATGCAAGGAACAAATAGGATCACAAATATACGGGAACCTGATTTAGAGCGTGTAGATGAAATGAATCGTATTATTATGTAGGCAATGAATATTCAGTTAAACACTTATTTAATATTTAGATGATTGCGCAACGAAAAACAACGACAAGATGTATTTAAATATTCGTAACTATTGACTCGTTAAATGATTAATAGGTTATTTAATTGATATACGAGCGGTAGGTGTGAATAATATAACATTAACAAAAAACAGCAAACTTAAAAATAATAGGTAAAGATGATTTAGGTAATTAAATGTTTAGTTTACGCAGGTGGAAAGCTATGAAGCAGTGTTCGAACTGTATTTATGATTTGAATTAGGAATATAAAATTAGGAATATAAAATTTACGATATTGGATGTGTGGGTAGGTCAAGGAAGGGCACTTAACTCTCGAGACGCTGAACGCTGAGCTGCGGTGTCGCTTGAATGCTTGAATGTTTGATTGATGCTTCACGAACCGGGGCCGGCTAGGTCCAGGCTGATGCTGCCAATCTTGACTCCCAAAATGTTCTTCGCGATGAACTTGTGGATTGGTACGCGTCGTCTCGTTTTTGAAGAAGATGCGCGTTATTTGGTTTGGTTTTTTGAATTGCAAGTAGTTGTCCTGTCATGGTCGCCAAATTATGTCTCGTATGGACATTTGGAATTTAATTTATGTAAAATTAAACTCTGGATTTATGATTGATTGTTTTATTTTATGCGACGTGCTTGCGTGCCTGAGTGCAATGGCGAAGTGGTTCTATAATCTATGAAATTTTTGAAATACGGATGACACAAACGTCGGCGCGAACACTTTCCTTTATAGATTTTACGATTTTTTCGTAGTAATCTTCTGGTTTATAATTACTATATGTTGTAATAAGTTCTGGTATGTAGCTCTTAAGGTTTTTGAGGTATATTTCTTGTTCGGCTATACTTTTTAGGTTTGTTGACACACTACAGAAATTGCGTCTATTTTTCTTTGTTGATTTTAGGTGAATTGTAGTTCTTAATAATCTGTGGTCTGATCCAAAAGAAAAAGATGATAGTACTTCGTATTTAGAAACTATGTTAG